GTGACAGAGAATTCAGGTACCCGTCACAGACCGTGACTGAGAATCCAGGTACCCATCACAGACCGTGACAGAGAATTTGGGTAACCATCACAGACCGTGACAGAGAATCCAGGTACCCATCACAGACCGTGACAGAGAATCCAGGTACCCGTCAGAAACCGTGACAGAGAATTCGGATACCCATCACAGACCGTGACAGAGAATCCCGGGTACCCATCACAGACCGTGACACAGGAATTGTAGTTGTAAAGCATCAAATATACGGTCAGCTACAAATGTGTCGTAAGGAAATGGAACAAAAGGATTTCCATTTAATTAGTAACAGTAGGTCCATCGTGTTTCACATTTTTAATCCCGCAAGGGATTGCGCTAACAGCTTTTTCAAATAAAGCTCTTTGTGCCTCATAAAATATTCTATTACCGTCATACTAATATCCTGCGATAAAAAGAGAAAGACATCATGATTAAAGATTTGCTAGATCAGTATCGATCCTAGTCCTAGTATAAGACACTGGGACCTGTACTAAGACTAGAACAGCATGAAAACCAATTGTTCATATTAGAAATGAAGTTAAGAGTCAGAGAGAAAAACTAGAATAGTACCGGTCATCAACTAAATGAATTAAAACACGAATATTGAAGAATTATTTTAGACGCGACACAAATGGATTTTCAAATAGTTTTCGTTACACCGGTACCAAAAAACTTTTATCGGCACTGAAACGAAAAAAACTTGATCGAGACGGTAGTACAAAACCTTGTATTCGTGTATCTATACTCATAGACCTCAATTTTCAATCTATCTCAGTCATTTTCAATATCTACAGCATCTTGCAACTAGCGTAAGTGTATAATATTAAAACTATTTTCTCTTGCTGGTCGAATCTTCCTAAAAATTTTACTCACCACGGTCAAGTGAATAAACACTGAATGTTCTCGATAAATTGAAATTTATTTTACTTCATACACGGTACGTTTGTTTTTTTTTTCAAATGATTACCATCTTACTTTCGCAACATTATAACACTATCTATTTCGTTTCTGTCCACATCGTCTTCTTTTTTCAAAATCTTTGTAGATAAGCACTCTGTAGATAAGAATCACACAGCAAGAGTCAATCATTCACTGAAAGACAAGAGGACGACTAATATCAAAGAAGAAATCCTCATTCTCATTCACTCAATGAAGGGTGTGAGTGTGGATTTGGGGTGTGGGTTAACAGGAAAGACAGGCGCACACCCACACCCACACCCACACCCACACCCTCACCCACACCCTCACCCACCCACACCCTCTTAAGACAAAACCATTGTTATGTAATTCATTTCAAATCTTTCGAGTCCATAATCTTTGGTAATATCAGTTTGATTAACTAAACATTCAGTTCCTTGTTGTGGTTTTTTTTGAAATCGAATGTAGAGAATAAAAACCTTATGAATACAATGATCAGAAAGACAAACATTAAGAGTAAGATGAAAAAGAAATATTTTTCATTCGAATTAATTTTTTTGTGATTTTTGAACTATTAAAGAATAGAATCAAATAGTTTACATGTTGAGTATAGAAAAGAATCGAATTGTATAATTACATAGTTAAGAATTTGAATGAATAATAATGAAAACAGTATGAAACGAAACGAACGAATGGTTCAGTTTTTTTTTTTCTTTTGCTAAACTCTAGATCAAGTTTACACGAGAAGGTGATCTTTTTTCATTGCTCTCAAGATGTAAAAGAACGAAAAAAGTATTGACTACACATTTTTCTTTTTTCAAGAAAAAAAGAAACACGCATATAAACGAAACAAAAATTTTTTTTCAAAATGCCTGTTAAACATTCAAAATTTGAACAGTTACCCAATGAAATATTAATAATTATATTCAGCTTTATGAAAACGAAAAATCTCTATCAAATATTTAAAAATTTAAATCAACGATTCAATACAATTATTGGCGAAGTAGATCATTATATTAATTTCGAAGAATATACAAAAAAGGAATATCGTGAAATAGTAATGACGAATGAAGATGCATTTTCAGTTCATCAAATTGTTTCATTAACAATCTTTGATGATAAGAATCAGTATGATGGTAAGTTAAGTACATTATTTTTCGATACTGACATCAAAAAAGATGGATCACTATATTTGTTTTTTTTTGTTTTAGTTGCTTCATTCAACACCGTTCTCTTCTTCTCAAAATATCAACAATCTCATTTTCCTAAATTAAAATCTCTCACAATCAACGGTCTTACTCTAGCTCTCTTTTCTAAATTATCTATTTCTATTCTACGACAACTCGTCACACTATCCATTTCTGCTTCTACTTCACCACCAACTACACCACGTCTTGTTCAACGTCTATTTAAATTACTATTTGCTACTGAAAATTTCGATCATCTCAAAAAACTTTCACTTAACTTTGATTTTGAAACTAATCGACCTGATCCAGACAGTTGGTGTGGTACACGTGAATCTGTTGAAGATATAACACTTCCATTTTCTGCGATTACACAACAACAACCATCGATCACCTGTTTGATAATCAAACATCGTGTGCATGATATCGATCTTGTACATTTACTCAAATATCTTCCGAATCTAAAATTTCTTTCAACCACATTAGTGATGTATCCAAATCTGTCTGCGTTGGAAAAATGTTCGAATTTAACTTCACTTGAACTTGATGTGACTGGTATTGAATTAACACATATTGAAGAATTCCTCTTCCAAATGTTTCCAAATCTAAGTAAATCTTTAACAGTTGATTTTTGTCCTTCACCACATATACGAGGTGAAATCAGTGAAGAAAGACTGCAGAAATTCTTTCAAAATTTATCAGAAAAAATTAACAAATTTATGATACATATAAAACATGAAGAACAAGATGATGAAAATGGATATTATTTTCAAGAATATGAAACAGAAAAATATTGGATACGATTTGAATTAACCGAGTTAAATAATGAATATTATGGTGATAAATGTGGAACGAGATTTTATAATGTGTTAAAGTAACTACTGGAAATACTGCATACCAAAAGTGTGACTGATTTTGTGCATTATTGGTTTTTTTGACATAGAAAAAATGTAGAACATATTAGTATTGACAATGTTATTGTGAAGAAAACTTCATCTTCTTCAGTCGCTCATTTTGATTTTCTAGAATATTTATTGAAAAAGAAACATATTCTGGAATTTTTCGTAACAGGGATAAGGTGTGGGTGTGGAGTGTGGGTGTGGGGTGAGGGTGGGGGTATGGGTGTGAGGTATGAGTGTGGGTGTGGGTGTGGGATCTCTTTAATCACGCCCACACCACACCCACCCACCCACACCCGCATACATACAATCTCACCGCTCTTGATTGAGTAAATAGCGAACACTTGTATTTGTCATTACTTGTCAAGAATAGGATCATTACTATTTTATAACTACCCAGTCAGACAGATATATCGAGCTTGGACGTTTTCTGAACAAAAATAGCGACTTTTAGTCGATTTTTATGCGTCTTTTTCGGTAAGTTCAAAAAATGCACAAAAACTCATGTTTTTGTTGATTTTTTTCTACATTTTTTTTATTTGTTTCTCTGTGCAATTTCGTCATATTAATGCAGGCAAGTGGTTAAAAATTTATTTCAATCAAAAAATGCTCGTTGTTCATCGAAAAGTTGAATATTTGAGCGTCTATGAACTGACAATTTTTTACCCAATTCTTGTTCATGTCTAATTAAATTTAGTTTGCCTTTAAAATTCACTCTGATTGCCTATTTACTTTAACAAGAGAGACAACTTCCTTTCTTTTTGTTTTCTTTCTGATTTATTCCAATGCGAAAACTATTCATTTTAATTGAACTGAGGCTGTCTGTCGTGTATTTTTTTTTCGTAATTCAGATTATAATGACAAGTTATGGACGAGAAAAGTTTTGAATCCCAATGGTGGAATCCATACCATCTGTGACTCTAAGAAAAAAAGATAAAGTCTACTATACATAAACGCCACACGAGTACTTTTTATCAGTATACAGGTACAAACATTCATCATGAAAAACATTGTAGCCTAATTAAATCGTTATCTACTTTCGAACGTATTTAATCAAAATATATCAAAGACATATTTAGACAGATATTGAATTCGAAAATTACTTATGAAAATGACTGTACTTTGATCTATCGAGTAAGTCTCTATGAATAATAAATCAGTCGACAAACATTTCATTTCTGAAAGCAAAATGATTACTGTAGATGAGTTTGACAAGCATTTTTTACAAAAGTATCTCCGCCACACTTGTGGCTCTACTTTTGGTAAGTTTATAACTATAAGAGGCGTCTTGGATTTTCGGTCAAAAGGACCAAGTTCCTTCTGCTCCCCCGTGGCGCTGCCACTAATAACCAAAGAATATGTAAGCTTTTTAGTTAAGAGAAACTTACCTTTTTCTTTTTACAGAGAATCCAATAGTAGCAATGGAAGACAGATACATATTATATAACATGTATATTTTTTCCCATTGAATAGTCAATTTGTAAGAATAGGGACATGTATGCTTCTTTTTAATGTGAATTCGTCTTTCTCCATTAAATATTCTAATTTTTGAAAACAGAAAGGTATTTTTAATAAATGTATTTTCTCGTTGTTATTGGCCTGTGAATATGTAAAGATGGAGGAGCAATCTACTGTTTACAGATCATATTTATTTTTTATGCAGCTAGTCCACGACAACAATAGAAGAGAGATGTAGTTTGTTTAAAAAAAGGCTTGTTAGCGCAGCTCCTGCGGAGCTGAAATGTGGAACTCACGTATACCTTTAGCTTTGTTACCTGACGCATCATCTGTATACTGAAAGACTTCTCGTCAACTATAGTTGTTTTCCTTGAGAATCGATGAAAAGAGCGGGTATTTATTATTTATTTGTATATTAAAAAAATATATTAAAAAAGAAAATATTGTTTTTTCATTTAAGCGCGCTGGATTTCATTTATAATTATTGGTATATACTCGATAATAATCTTTTTCTTTTGTTTTCTAATTTGAAGTTATTTTTCTCCACCATCGACTATTTGATGAATAAGGTTGTTGCAGTCTGTAATTGGGGGGGGGGGGGGGGGGGGGGGGTTTGTTTTGGTATTTTTTTTTTGGGTTGCTAGGGTCTGTAAGGGGAGGAGGGGTGGGCGGGAGCCGCAAAACCTTGAACTTGAAACTTACACTCACTATTTTCTTCGAAAATATACGTGAGTTCCACAAAATCAATAATATGCGACAAAAGCTTGAAGAGTTTACTCAAAAAGACAAATAAAACCATCATTGTTAACGATGATCAAATTGATTGGGATCGACTAATTTACATTGAAGAACAACAAAACTGTAAGTGTTTTGAACTAAATACATAGAACAAAAGAAAATCTTCAATAAATTAATCAAATATTTTCTTTCATCGATCGACCTAAACTTGTTCATTGATAGATTAGAGTTACTTCAAAAGATACACTATTTTCGAGAAAGTTGATTTAGATATGATTGCAGTTTGTTATTTTTACAAAAATGAACAAACTCTCGTGAAAAAATAGAGTTTACATTCAACCCTCTGAAATTTCATGTCGAATTGCAATGGAAATGATTTCTATGGAATGACGCAGAATAATTATTGGATTAAATGTTAAGAAAATTTTTTGTTATTGAACATTTACGGTTATAAGATTTATAATAGATATCAGAGTTCATATTTATTCTCTATCAAAGATAGACTTGAGAAATTTGCTAAAATCAATTTTCATATCGTATGGAAAAGGACAGTTTTTCATTCACTTTTTATATTTTCTACATTTCAGGACTTTGAACAAGAGGAAAAAGCAAGATCCCTGTACTCCGGAGTACAGGTGGAATACAACTTGGGGAAAAAAAGCGAGACATCAAAGTTGCAGTACAGTGGAGTCTAACTGGAGTACGAGGAGTACATACTAGAGTCCAGGTAGACTGCCAGTTTACTTCATCTATACTTGGCTGTACTTCGGAGTATGAAAGTCTCGCCTTTTCTTCCTTGCTTCTTTCTCTGATGTTTGTTTAATTGTTGATTGAATTTGGTGAATGAACTAAATCTTCGACCGAGTTGTGTTGTTTTCGAATATTCATAGAATAAGTAGAAAAAAAAACAGATTGATCTTCTCTGTAGGGTGTGTATTGAAGACCAGACTACAGTTGAATTTTCATGTAGAATCGATTTTAGGTATGAAAGAATTTTCCAGGATCGTTTCTGCTTTGAAATTTTTACAGAGAATCGATTTATATGTTTCGGTAAGACGAAGATAGAGAAATAAATAAAATACTTTACGTCGAATATTCCAAAATGTTTAAAGAGTGTTTAGAAAAAAGTTTTTTATATTTCGATTCAATCTTGCCATGTATGTTTAAAGGAGGTCAATAAATATTTCATAAAAATTTATTCATCGAACGAAATGGAATTTTTTTATTCTGAATTCCAATCGAATAGGAAAACAAGTTTAATGACAAACTATGGTAAGAAAAGTAAATTTCATTAGAAATATGAGTAGAATGCTGTTACACACTCTTTCATCATTTAGAAAAAAATATCAATTATCTAACTAGTTCAACTATTATCGACACATCTGATAGGAGAATTTCTCAGGCTAAATATTTTTATTATGAAACATCATTAAGATAATGTCGTAGATGTCAAAAGAGAGAGAATTATGGAATAGTCAAATAATTGTCAATATCTAAAACTCATGATTGATTTCAATTGAATTTTCTTCCTACTCGAAATAGAAGAAGAAAAGTCAAACAAACGCTATTTTTAACAAAATTCAGATAAAATAATATCAGAAAATAGATTTATCATAAAAGATTTTGTAAATCCTGTTTACTGTTAAATTTCATTTGAACGTGAACTACAGCTAATCATTTTGAGAGACAATAACAAAAACTTGATAGATCTTGTTTCTCTATATCGAAGAATAACAGATTTAGACGATCATTGACTTTCTTTTTCAAACGAACGAAAATAAAAAAATTCCATGAGCTTAATTTTCAAGTAGTCTGATCTGGTAAACAAAAACTCTCAAAAATCAATTCAATTTCGATATAAAATTCCTTAGAGAAACTAAAAAAAGGAATCAAATCGCTAAAATAAGTTTGTGATATCCTTCGTTTATTTTATTTAATCAGGGGTGGATGTTGATGAATAGATGGTCCACATCCACACTCTCAAGAGAAAGAAAAAAAATGATGAAGGAACTTTCTCTGAATGATAATAGTGAGAAATTCAAAATTAGATTTTCTTCACTTTCAACTGAGTTTCGATGAAAAGTAAAGAAATGAGTTACTTATAGAGTTTATCATGAACTTTTCTTTATTTCCATTACTTCATCAATTCGAACTTTTTTTGAAAATGAATTATTGTGTTCAAGTATTTCAGAACTTTTATCGTTTTCAGGAATCTTTAAATGATCACAAAAACTTGATTAAGATTTTCTGAACTATTTTGTTACGTTTCAAATATTTTCCTGATTGATTTTAATCATATCAAAAGTTGTATTAGCTTGAGTTTTATTGGCACGAAAGTATTCAGCATATTCAATCGATCACTTTTGTCTAAAAAATAGTTCAAAAGAAGATTTGTATTGAGCTTACTTGATAAAAGCAGCGTCTAGAGCAAGTAGGACACGACGGATTTCCATGGATTCTCAAAATTTTTATAATCACATATTATATTGAAACTCATAGAATTCAGTGTCAAGGCTTCAGTGCTTTATTACATGATTAGAAAAGCTACATTAAAATATTGAGAAAAACATTTCCTTGAGAAGTATATTTTCGGCATGTTTGTCCTGTGCATACGTCGAGGCTTGCCCATATCATATCACTTTTTTGTTCATGAATTGTAAGAGAGCTGTGTACATGGAAGAAAGTATTTCATTAATATGATGATTAAAACCACTATCCTAGGCGAACTTATTTCCTTTATACTTGATCTGTGCAGCTCTCAAGATTTATCCATTGCGTATGGCTTTCTTGCTTCGGATTCTCCATGATCTCGTGTGCATACCAAAAAAACAGTTTGTCTAAGGATATTGCTTTTAATATGTAATCTGGAGTGTAGATGAAGAGAAAACATCTGCACTCATACCCACATTCGCACCCAATAGAATTATGTAGATATTTTTCATAATATTCGATTACAGTAAATTTGGCAACGTACTTGAAGAAGAACAATATGTACGGTAGACAAATACAGGGTGTCCCAGAAATTCGTATGGAAAAAAAATTTGAATATCTCCGTTTGCCGCTTGAGCAAATGAGCTGATTTTTTTTATCAATGATAGAGGCATGTTCAAAGTTTATATCCATAAAGACATGCCTAGAGATTCTCTTTGTTAAGTACTACTATTGGTCTTAACAAAAAAATATTACTTTTTCACAGATAGGAAGAAAACGGTACACAGAGTGGCGCAAAAGTCACTTTGCCGAAAAAAAAGAATTGAATATCTACACTAGGGCTCTGGCAAACGAACTGATTTTTTTATCAATGATAGAGGTACGTTCAAGCTTTATATTCATAAAGACATGCTTAGAGGGATCCTTTGTTAAATATATTATTTTTTTTCATATCTATGAAAAAGTAAACTTTTTTTGTTAAGACCAATAGTAGTACTTAACAAAGAGAATCTCTAGGCATGTCTTTATGGATATAAACTTTGAACATGCCTCTATCATTGATAAAAAAATCAGCTCATTTGCTCAAGCGGCAAACGGAGATATTCAAATTTTTTTTCCATACGGATTTCTGGGACACCCTGTAGTGTCAAAGTTGAAAGCTAAATTCAATTATTGTTTCATTGTCTAGATACTCAAATAACAAAGCACGCTAAGCCGTTGTAGTTTCTTCATTAACATGGATCCTCTATGTCAGTACTTTCGTGAAAAACTAGGATAGTTCAATTCAAGGTTAAACAAGTCAATACTTGAGTTTTAACTTTTTAAGTTTTACTAAATTTCAACTGTCAATCACACTCATATGTCTTTCCATGTAAGTACAACAGAAATACAGACGATTAAAAATTGAATTTATCTTAACCTTCAAGTTTTACATTACGAGTTTTGCCTTCTAATACATTTCTAATTAATCATGCTATAGTACAACTGTAGATTGTGAATATTACAGTTTTCTCTCTGCCGAGCTGATTTTACTTCTATTTTCAACTGACATAATTGCTATATGATACAAAGATAAGCGTAAATGAGAAAGCACAAGAATAGATATTAATTAGTCAGAACATTCTAAAGAAGAAGAAACTAAAATTTCGATTATCATTGATTGTTTTCGTCTGTAAATTGATCCATTTCAAAATCAAGGTCAGGAAACGCGAGATTTCGATTGAAGTTTATTGTTCTCTAACATGTTTTTGTTTTTGAAGCCAAGTTATTGATAAAAACCAAGAGATTATCACCAATCACTTCGTGTTTTACAAAGCGTCTCTAATTGCTCTTAGTTTTACTTCTAAAATTACCTAGAAATAATTGATCCTGATTAAATATCAAAAAACTGATTCCAATGTAAGACTTAAAGGTGCTTCGTCAAGAGTCAAGTAAGTGAGGAATGCAAACAACTAGCTAGCAGTCTACAATTTTCACTAATCGGAAGAGAATACATGTGAATATCTTTTTCTCTAATTATGTCTGGAGGAATATTATTTTCAAACCAACCATTCCTATAAGACATTCATAAAAAAAACAAAACTAGTCTATCAGTCCGATCAAATTTTAATAAAAGACGAAGTAAGTTTGTTTAAAAACCAAGAAATTTTCAGATTATGCGAGTGAGCATATATTTTTTTTTCGGGGGAAAGATAGTGTGAATAATATGAAAATCAGTTTAGTGGTATAGTAGCTGACTATTCTTAATGCTGATTAGTTAAAAGTTCTAATAGCTAATAGATTAGAAAATAATTCTATATTTGCATTTACTTCTTACATTGTAAGGATAGAGAAATCAATGATACACTGAAACTAGATTAGAAATCTTAGGAAATGACCACTAAAACAGAGGCCATCTATGAATTTTCATTGAAAGGAAGGATACATTTTTGATTTTACGATAGTTGAAACTGTATTACTATTCATAGTATTGATGAACTAGCAATTTCTTTTTGCAGTTAATATGAACCTAAGAAGCATATCAATGAAGTACTCAAGTCAACATCTGTAATAAAAATTAATTTGAGAACAGGGGTGTGGGGTGTAGGTGTGGGGTGTGGGCGTGGGTGTGTGATCCAATAAGTGATATCCACAGCTACACCCACACTCACACCCACACACCCACACCCACATCCACACCCATACCCGCACCCACACTCCACCCATAATTCAATAGATTATTATTTTTTTGTATTTAAAATTTGATTGCATTCGAGTATCATCTTGAAAATAAATTCGTATCCAATTCGTTTGACTTCATCGAGTTCGATTGATTTTCAATTTTCGCTCGAATTCATTCTCAATCTACTTTATTTCTTTTATCTTCAAATGCGAATTATTATATATAAACTTATTCTCAAGATTTATTTCAAAATTCAATTTCATTCTATCCGTGATATATCTGATATGTTTTTAAAATTCGTTGAATACTTGATTCATTCAATGGTTGTAATTGATCGCTGTCTTCAATTTCCATCCATCCGTATAGATCATAATTGTCATTGATATAATAACCACCATCTATAAAAGTGAGCGGCACTCGACGAGCATAATCAGCGGACCAATAATGAGACTTATGATTTTGTTCAGCAATATAAACATAATTTTCATCAACATCTGTGATAACAGCAATATGTCCAACGCGCATACGTCGACTACGTGGATAAATAAGAAATGAATCTTTTTTTGGCTTTTTCTTCGAACCATTTCGATGAGGAATTAATCGAAATTTTTTACCATCGGTAACACGTTCAACATAGGTTATATGTATCCAAATGTTAGAAGCAATGTATATATCTGAAAAAATGCAACTCTTACGTAGTAAGAGCCATCGACGAGCAAATTCTACACATTGCCATTTAACACCAGTATATACACCATAAAGATAGTTTGCATGAGACGGAGAAGTTCTTCGATTTGTGTATGCTGGTACATTCGTAGATGCGATGCCTTGAATTTCACTGGGTCGAGCACAGTTAAAGATTCCTCCATTTCCCATTTTGTTTATACTAAAAATATCAAATACAGAAGTAAATAGAAAAATTTTCAGTGTAATTTCTATGAAATAAAACTGGAAAATGTCGAATTAGTCACACTATATCTATATTGATGAAAAAATATGATCATGGTAAAGAAAAACAAGGCATGCTGCAGTGAAAAGACTGTGTCAGATGGAGAAAAGAAAACTCAAGAAAGTTTTAAAATCAACAAATTCAGTTTGGACATATTTTTCATGATCTGTAAAGAAAATCGAAGGATGAAAGCTGCGAAAATATGTTATTTCTGGTTCACAAAATCTTCCCTCACTATGAGATATGTGTAAGAAGATGCTATTGAATGACTTTTTTTTTCTGATTCTAATTAAATTTTGTGATGATAATTTAAGAAACTGTTTATTTTGTGAGAAAGAAAATAGGCCTTAGACATTCGTGCTAACTCAAATAATATCATATTTCACACTGCAAACTTAGAAAAGGCGCTTTTCACTTGAAAACAAAGCATAAAAAATCCTATACAGATTTCGATATTCCAAATAAAAAATCAGAAATTTGAGGCCAGCATATTAGAAAAGGATATCTTATTCCGATTGATTCATGCATCGTACATTTACTCTTTTTGTTTAAATCAGCTATGCCTCTTGTTTTTTTCTATGATGAATAGTCGATCGTATATACGAAGATTTTAAATCTTAATATCGAGAAATAATGAACTCGATGGGTAATCGAAAATTATTTTTTTATACTGACTTGTTGATAGTATTTAAGACAGGAAATTATTCAACCTTTTTTTATCAGTTGTCATTGAAGATCATTGAAGTTTGTATTATGTTTTTTTAATTGTTAAATGACTCAACTACTGGCTACAAAGAACTTATTTTTAAAAGAAAGTCAAGTCATCAAACAAACAATAAAAATGTGACATGATGATGATAAAGTATTTTATGCTAGAAAAAAAGTTCTGTTAACTTTGTATGTACCACTTGAGCCAAATTGTTTTTGTCGTGTGTTTTTCTTTTCTGTGTAATAAATGTCTGAAGAAACATGATAAAAGCACATGGTTGACAAGTAAACATATAACTCTGTTTCTTTGTTGTTAGCATATGATTTATATAATGAATGAATTTCAGCATCGATTCCACTTTGCTATGAAACATTATTCAGAGAAGGGAAAGTAGGTCAATAATAATGAATATGACCACTTGATCGATTAGCAGACTAATTAACAGATGTAGAAAATATTCTCAATAAGCTAAATATTGTCAAGCGAAATGTTCAAAAGTATCACAACGAATTGAATTGATCGCGCAACCGTTTTCTTCTTATAGGGTCTTGTTTTTAACGACAGGCGTCCACCCACTCCGACTTTACATCGAAATCTGACAACAAAAGAATCACTTCGTTGTTCATGTAACGTTACTTATTTCTCGTTGATCTTTAAGGATTATGTCTTCGGATTTGATGGTGTGGGTATGGGTGTGCGTGTGCATGTGGGCTGTCAGGATGGTGATGCCTATGCGTGCGATTATTAGTCGATTGTTCATCTACATCTTCATTCACAACCATACCACACCCTTATTTACAGATTTTAGTGTTTGTTACAACGTTGTACGTCGATTTTGAGTGGCTAGGTGGATCATAGATTTCAAGTGCAACTCGTGCAGATATTATTTGACAAACAATAGAAAAATACTGGATGTCTTGAATCAATCGTATCTATTGACATTGAAAAGCAAAAGAGTATACGCCGCTCGACGAATTTCTCTCAATAGAGATATTTACCTGTCAAGGTTCGATCGGGTGTGAGCCTTCTGCCGAAGATTCGTTCAAACTGATGAATTCATTTTTATCATGTCATTATTATATCAATTTGATCAGTAAATCTGATTTATCCATTGAAAGAGAATATCAACTGATTAGTAACATTCAACATCCAAAGTTGTGTTCTTTTCAACAGAAAAAAGTCAACAATCGTCGTTGATATAGGTATGAGTACTGATGTAATGCAAGAAACCAGGATCCGCGCGAAGGATCAAATATTAGGGGGGTGTAAGAAAGAATTTTCAGAAAAATCTTGCGGAAAAATGATAAAATATAGACAAAATCTGCATTTGTGGACAGAAAAAGATGAAAATTTTTCGTTTTTTGGGGAGGTGTACACCACCCCCTCCACTCTCGCGGGGCCTGCAAGAAACACCCACATCTATCAGAACGAAAACAAGTATATTGGCTTTTGTATTTCTACGTTAGGAAGGGTGTGGGTGTGTGGGTAGGGGTGCAACAAATCTCTCAGGGGCTTGAAATTTGGACTTGGATTTGGGTTTGGTTTCCGAAGCTTGAGATTTGGTCTAGATTTGGTTCTAGACATGATTTTTTTTAATTTGAACTGAGGTGTCATTTGGACCCGTCTCGAACTGTAACTGAGAATTTCAACTATATTTTGATTTGGAATTGGGGATTTGGATTTGGATTTGAAATTTGGTTACAATTTAACATGACTCTAAATTTTCGTTTCTCATAGAAAGGAACCAAATCTAAGTACCAAATCCAAATCTAAACTCAAATCTATGTCATTTCATATCAATTTACACGATTTAGGATGCCTTTCTCTCTTCTGAGATTTTATCTTACAAATTCAGATCATATTTGGGTAACTAGTCACCAAATTCAAATCCCCATCGAGAACAGATTCAAATCTTCTTGCACAAAATCCTAAGACTTTGGGTTTGTTGCACCCCTAAGTGTGGGTGTCGGTGTGACTGTTAGTACGAATCTAGTGTTTGTAGATACGACCACTCAGCACCCACAGATACACAAACAAACCCGCACTGTGCACCCACACCTCACGCACACATACCTATACCTACACCCACACAGACGCTCACATCTCCGCCAACCCACACCGACATACCCTTTTATCTTTTGCTGAAATTCGATGAATTCGATTGCCGAAAAGCATAAGTTGAGGCCAGCAGATTAAACTTGCCTTTTCTTCAAGAGATAGTTAGGCCTATTTTCATTCGGTAGTTAGTAATTAGGAAAAGGAAGGGTGTGGGTGTGGGTCTGGTTGTCATCCAAACTCACACCCACCCCACACCCACACCCAAACAATATTCTTCTATCTTATCTCATGGACATACAAACATGTGATTCATCATGTAAAATAAGATCTGATATCAGATTCAACAGAAGTTTCAGTCTTGTCATCAGAAATGAGTATGATATATGCGTTAGTTAAAAGTAGTACAATAGGATGTGGGTGGCAGTGGGTGTATATGTAAGGAGAAGATACACTCACCCACCCTAATAAACTTTGGATAAGATTTTTTTCGTTATGTGGGTGAGGTGTGGGTGTGGCAGTTCGTTTCAACTACATTCACATGCACAGTCAAATTCATAGCCACACTTACGGTCACACCCTTGCCGAATTCGCAGCATATGAGTCTATGATCAATAAGAAATCTCATCTGAAAGGTCTCATATGGTTTGAACTTCATGTTTGCCAATGAAACAATGGCATCGAGGATACCGATTTCAGCGCCTACAAAATGAGCCGCATTGATAAAAGTATAGATGAGATCAGAAATAGAACGTTGTTTTTCAGATTCATACTAGCAAACCCTTCTGCAAATATGACATTCAACGTATGGATAGACTACATTTTACACTTTATTTGAATTAAGAATCGGTATATTTCACATTATGAATAGAAAAAGAAAAAGAAAAATATCATTCATGAATATAAGCGCATAATTAGAACTCGAAATAATTCATTTGACAATTATTTTGGAGACATGATATTTATCATGCAAAGGAGATGGTATCCATAGTACCTTCAATGATGCAGAATATCCGGATTTGCCTACATTGATTCATTCAGAGGATTTAAATACACATTAATAATCATTAATAAGATTGTCACGACAAAGAGAATTCATTCAATGATATCATAAATAATTTTATATTTGTAATAACTAAATGGGAAGAAATTGACCACGACAATCGATGACGACAGTAGCAGAAAGATAATAAGTAAAATTACTCGAAACCATAACCTTCTCTTTGGAGACTATTGAAAACCGAAAAAGTTCAATAAACCTTGATTGCATATAGCAAGCCAGACAATATTGAGAAGAACAAAATCTCGAATGACACGAAGTTCCGCTCTACTAGATATGTAGTGAATATAATTGTGCTCACATGAATCATACATCTAAAAGGATCTGATGAAAAAAATCATGGAATTTTTCTCACTCTAGAACCTTTCAAGGTTTCTGAAATCTTTACTAGAGTACCAGAGGGCTGTAGAAGTCTCCATAACACCTTGGAAGATCCAAAAGTTCTCTTGAGCATGATAAACCTCGCTCGATGGCCTCCGAACTGGGCGCAGACACCCACACTGAACATGATATAAATTTTTCAACTAGATAAGTGATCAAATCTCAGCAAACGGATATCAAGATAGTTGTACACTCCAAAGGTGCTTTCATTTTATGCTGCTTCTAGAGTGGAAACAACTGCATGATTTTTTTATCAGATCCTTTGTAATTTAATATTGTTTCATTTGGGAAAGCGAAATTAATAAGACAATATATGTGTCATTCATTACAAATAGCTTGTATTTTTCGATGACACGATTGAGAAAATCAAATATTTGACTATTAATAAGAGTATCATTTCTCTTCTATTTTATCAGTTTTTACTAAATATAAATCAAATAAATAACAATCAAAGGCAAAAATATTTAGAACAAACCAAAACTAATGACTACTGTTATGATCATAAAAGTTCGACGAAGAACTATTTAATATAGTATGTAGCGTTAACAGTAACCAGAAAAGAAGTGGAAAAATATTTTTTCAAATAAATTTTGATAGAAACAAGATAGAAAACTGCGTTTTTCTCCATTGAAAAGAGCAGAGAAAGACGCATCGAATCATATATTTGAGGTTTTTGCAATATGTTTTCTGAAATCTTTTCAATCAGTTGTTTAAATATCGAGAAAATATTGTTATTTCGAAGCATTCGCTAAAAAATCGACTAGAATACTTTTAACTGTTGAATAATAAAATATACACAGTTAACATTTTCACGGTTTTGAAGATCCTCGATGGGCATTTTGAATGCACACTTAATCCTAGAAAATGTCCTGTGAATAATCGACAGGGACACGCCGGTTTTCAAAAAAGTCTGTTGAAAAATTCTCTATTGTAAGATTTGATGTGTTTTCATCTCTATTTTTCAGCGATGAAAACCGCAATTTTCTATCTTGTTTCTATCAAGAGTTATTCAAAAGCTATTCGACCGCTTTTTCTCTCGTTACTGTTATCGTTACATATCATAACAAATAGTTGTTTATCGAAATTTCATTATTATGGTATTAGCTGAAGTATGACGATACATACAGAAAGAAAATTTCATTAAACTTTCTATGCGAAATTGAGCTACATTCACCACTATTATTGTTATGCCCTGAATATATATGATATCTTTGTATGGTCCAAAGCTTCGATCTCTTATAATTTTGATTCGAAATGATTCATATAGTTTTTAATTCGTTTCTTCCTTCCTTTGATTTTCAATTTTATTACCTTTTACTAATGTTTTTTCCTTTTCTACTGTATGAGTCAACGTTGGAAAAAATAACGTGCTATACAACGTGTATGCGCAGTCTTATTTCACTGTCGTAAATTTTTTAGTCGATTATTCGATTTAAATTATGCTTTATTTCGTTATTTTAGAGTTTTTCAACTAATATCTATATGGAACAAATTAAACGATCACAAAGCAACATTAATGATGATTATCATGATAGCAAAAGGACAAAAATAAGCAGTAAAATTTCAAATGCGATTTTTTTGTGATGATATTCTTTGTTTTTTTCTAGCAACACAAATCGAGATAAACTGGTTAGTGTAAAAAAAAAACAGAAGTAATGTATTTGTTTTTGATAACTATCACTTATTTTTCAGTTTGATAGAAGAGTTCATTAGTGTTTTCGAAGATCTTTCTAATGAACTTATTTATGAAATATTTGAATATCTCGATTTTCATCATGTATTTGAAGCTTTTCATGACCTTAATGAACGATTTCAAAATCTTCTTATTAATTCAAATCTTCCAATTAAAATCAATATTTCATCAATGTCGAAATATAGATTTCAACGTTATTTAACATATTTTATTATACCTCAAACTTATCGAATTAAATCATTTCGACTATCGAATCCATTTGCTGCCGATATGTGTTTGTTATTATTTCCAATAATGACAAACTTAACTCGACTTGAATCATTAACTATACATAATATTGAATCTGATTACGTTGAAGGAATTATAAATCATTTATCTTTATTACCTAGTTTATCTTCACTAGTCATAATATCCATTGATTATATAAGAAATCAAAATGATATTTACCAGAAAATATTTCGTTTACCGACACTGAAATATTGTCAAATTCTTTTGGAATCATTATGCCATCGAAAACCAATGTCTACTGATACAAATGAATTCAGTCCTATTGAACATCTTGTCATCAATAATAAGGTTTCACTTAACCAACTTTATAGTTTATTATCTCGTGTTCCTCAACTACAACATTTATCATTGGATCATTTATGTGTACCTCGATGGAGTCAAACATCTTTGAATTCGATTACTTTACATTATTTAACACATGTGTCGCTGAAATTGTATTCTGTCAGTTTTGATAATTTTGTATCACTCATCAAACATTTTTTTAATAAAATTCAAATTTTACGTATTAAAGTAGGCTATATGCCATATTTCAGTTCTAATTTGGAATATTTAAATGCTAATCGTTGGGAACAATTAATTTCAACTCACATGCCAAATCTATATATCTTTGACTTCGAACATCAATATCGAACATGGGGTTACTTTAATGATCGACAAACCTATGAGGCTCAGATCAATATGTTCAATTCATTATTTTGGATAAAACGACAATGGTTCTTTGAACATCAATATTGTCAAATTAGAAATTCGACTTATGCTATTTTCTACTCGACAAATTCATATAAGTAGAAATACATTCGTCTATTTACAACAAATATAGTTGTGTAATTTTACTTTATAGGAAAGAATTTTATATTTTGGATGAAGATTTGGACAAAAACATAGGATCACCTAGTCTTGAAATTGAAGAAAATCCAGCTTATCATGTTGGTATTTATAGTATAAATGCAATGGAAAAATTCATCGGTAACTTTCGAAATGCTACTAAACTTACTCTTTTCGATACATTTGATAAACCTCGTAATTCAATTGTAAGAAGTCTTAATCGTATCATGCCTTTGAAACAACTGTCTACACTATCTATTGATTGTCATCATTTTCCTTTTGATCAAATAGACGAACTTCTTTATTCAACGCCGAATGTTCATACACTGAAGCTTCATTCAATATTACTTTATCGAATAGATTCTGTTTCAATGCAACAGAAGCAAATATTTCAACTAGTGTCCATTACAAATATTGTTAAAAATGTGATAATTGCAAAAGAAAGTACAGTGGAAAAAATTCAATTACTTGTTGCTCTTTTTCCTCGTTTAGAATATCTTACAATTAATTTATACCGTGATGATTTGGAAACAATAGCAAGATTTTTATTATCAAAACTTAATAATAACACTCGTCATTTATCATTATTATGTATTTCAAAACAACGTAAAGATTTCTTAGCAAAATTGAGAACATTGATTGAAGTAGAAAAACTTCTTGATGACTTTATAATAAGAATTATCAATCGAAAACTCTATTTATGGTGGTAGATTTTATTTCTTTTATACTGATATATTAATCTTGACTATTAATTTTTTTTTAAATAAACATATCATATATTAATAATCTCATCTCTCTCATTTTCGTTACAATTGTGAATTGCATAAATAATTTTAAATATTTAAGTAAACATTCTATTTGAAAGAAATATTCAAAAAAAACAATCTCATGAGGGAACGCATCCAACTGTCGTACGCATTTCGACCCCAGCTTTTGACTGTTAGTAAGACTCAGAATATCCTAAAAGAGTTCATACTCATGGATGTATCCATTTTCGATTTAACCTCTTCTCGCAATAGACATCGTGTTCATCAGAAAATCTTTAAAGACTACAGGCAATATTATTTTGTGGTTTTTAAAAATCGTTTTGATTTTCTCAAAAAAAAATTGTAAAAATAAATGAAACATAATAGAAGATCCGGTATTTTCTGTTGGAGAGGAGTTTAGAAAATTTGATTGATAATATCAAAGTTTAACTTCGAAAATGGTAGGCACAACAGGTTCTCATCATCAAATATAAAATCTACATTGAGTGTATCTCGAAAATATACTTCACCTACAGCAGCTACACAATTATTCTAAAATCTTTCAATCAATAGAGTTAAAACTTTATTTAAGAAAAAAAAAACAAATTTTTAAAGTTTTTCGAATTTTTTATTTGTTCTACGAAAACTAATCACATATTAATATTTTGATAACTTTAAATTTTTCATAATTAATTTAATAAACGATGGACAAAAGTATGTAAATATCATTATAATAAACATATAAATTAAAATAATAAATAATGATAAAAAATTTGATGTATCAATTGTATTTATATTTAAATTAATTATTCCTGTTAATATATTAGCTAATAAAAATATATCTAAACCTTTTTGATTAATATTTTTAATTAAAATTGTTTCAATTAAATAACCTTTTCTTAATAATAACCATTGTATTATACTAAAACATCCTAAACACATACAAGCTAAACCCGTTGTACTTGTAATATAAGATAAATTACATAATTTTCTTGATGGATTATAACTAATTGTACATAATATAATCATAAAAATAAAAAATATAATACCCATATATATAAATTTTTTTTTATATTCATTATAAATTATAAATTTTCCAATCAAAATTCCAATTAAATATAAACAAATATATCCACTTAAAGAAAATATTCCTTCACGATTAGCATCAATAAAATTTTTTCTTATATTATTTGATGATTGTATAAGATAATTATCAAATTGAAAATATTTTAATAAAATAAATTCATGAAATAATAATATTAAAAATATTAATAAATATAAATTTTTTATTATTTTTAATAAATAATATCCAATTAATTTCATAAAACATAATGTTAAAAAAAAATTCCAATGTATACCATATTCACTTATATGTTCAATATATGAAAAATATTTTATTAATATTAAACGTATTAAACCTAATAAACATAATATTAAATTTTCAAAAAATAATTCTTTTATATTTATTTGTTTATTTCGAACTTCTGAACTAACAAGACCATGTGATATAGCAAATAGACCAACACCTAAATCCATTATTGAATAACCATAATTTTCTGTTTTAGCATAACGTCTTGGATATATAGAAAAATCAACTGCAAGTATACATATACATGTTGCTATTAATATTTGACCACGAAATAATTCAATTATATGTGAATATGATTGTTTATTTATTTTAATTGATTTTATTGTTAAATTTTTTTTTGTAAAATAAATTATAAATCCTATAAACCAAAAAATAAAATGAAATATATAACTTAATGATGATAATAAAGTACAAATTAATATCAATGGAATAATAATAAGAAAATTTTCAAAAAAAAAATTATATATTGAAATATATTTTATATTAGATAATGATAATATAGTAGATTTTAATATTTGACATAAAAAATATGTTGCACATCCATTTATTAATATAGAACCTGTTTCATAAAGATTTGTTCCATTTAAATTACTAATAAATAATTCTTTTCGTTGACGATAATCATCCATTTTATCTGAATAATAAAATAAATTAAATTTTTTTACTATTTTAAACATAATCATCGTTTACAATAGAACAATGAAACTAAATTTTTGATAGTATTGATTTTACTTTTTTTTTTGTTATGGTTGAATAAATTTTAGCGAATTACATAAGAATCAGAGAAAAACGAAAAATCAATGCTTCAATTCGATTGGTTACAATTAATATCCAATCCCATGAATAGAGAATAAAAAAATTATATAATTGGCTCATTTGTTTCAATCAATATAAGCATAACAGTGAAAGAATAACTTTATTATCTTTTCATTTTTTTTAAATAAATACAAAGTATTTTTCTTGATATATTGAATTTATCATGGTTGAATCATCTGCTTCTTCGTCAAGTCTAGTTTCAGTTAATTCACCATCAACATTTCCTTTTTTTAAATGTACTTTTTTGGATAAAGATACAGGTAACAAAAAATATTATTTTATTTCTATTTCAAATAGATATTAATATATATAGTTTTATATTATAGATCTGAATGAAATACCAATATGGAATAATGATTTTGCAATATTACTTTCATATTGGCTTCAACAAAGAGCTAATCATGATGATATTTTTGGAAGGTATACTAACAAAGTTTTATTATTATGAAAATATCTAAATTCTAATAGCGAACTATTTCATTATCATCTTTTCTAGTTTTCGTTGGGCAAATGCAAATACAAATAGTTTAGGTGAAGTTGATCTTATAACTGATGCTGAGGTTAGTATATTTATTATAAACCAAAAATTAAAATCATTACTTTTTTTTGTTTTTTGATAGCATATAAAAAAATTACTTAAAGTATCATTTAATAAACATAGTCAAATATCAATGATTGTACATCGTTTAGGTCGAACTATACTTCTTGATGAATTTGATGTACATTCACATTTATTACGTCTTGAAAAAGTAATAAATAAAATAAAATAAAATTTATTTTAATTAAAATTTTATTTATTTAGAATGAATGGACATGGTTTCGAGATTTTTTTCTTGATAATATTCTACGTAATATATCTGTTAAACATATTTATAAAAAAAATAAAACACGTGATGAACTTATACGAAAAGATCGTTTAGTTAAATTTTTATGTCAAAGGTATTTTTTTTGTTTTGTTTTTATGTTTTTTATTTTATTGATTTATTTCAATTAGTGTTGAATTACCTCATTTAACACGTTTAAATTCAACAAATAATGATGAATGTCAAACATCAACAAATGAAATAACTGCTGAAAAACTTCTTCAACAAATAAAAGAACTTGTTAATGCAAATAATTATATTGATGATGATCATAATCATACAAATTTAACTTCATCACCATTTCAACGAACAGTTAATTGGACATTTGAAAATATGAAAATGTTAATTGGTTCAGATTTACCAATTTTTGGTGATGAACAACATCCAGCTGTTAGTTTACGTTTAAGGTTATTAGAATTTTAGAGATGATAATTTTAATTTAAATATAATCTATCAAAAAACCAAAACTTATTGTTTTTTGTTCAATAGAGATATGAATAAACCTATTAATGTTTTAACTGGTATTGATTGTTGGCTTGATAATTTAATGTGTAATGTTCCTGAATTAGCTATGTGTTATCATGTTGATGGTATTGTACAATCTTATGAAATAGTTAAAACTGAAGAATTACCATATCGTGAAGGTTGTGAATTTCCACCGGATATTATACGTGATTTAGCTACAAATCTTCTTTCATTTCTTAAAGCAAATGCAACTAAAGAAGGACATACATATTGGTTATTTAAAGGTAAACAAAAAAAAATTTTTTTTTGAAAAACAAAAAAAACATATAATATTGAGATTAGGTCCTGATGATGATATTGTTAAATTATATGATTTAACAAGTTTATGTGATACAAATCGTGATGATAATCCATATACATTACCAGTTGCTACTTTATTCTATAAAATGGCTCATAATATGGTATCAAAATCTGATCATGAAACACGTTCAAAAGAATCTGGTACAATACGTACATTACTTAAACATTGTTTAGATATGCTTAATCCAGAAAAATTTCCTGAATATCATTGTGCTGCTGCATATATGATGTCTGATCTTTATATTGATGATAATGTTAGTGAACAAAGTTGGACATCAGATGGAAGTGATATACAAGATCCAGATTCATTAAATGATGATGTATAATAGAATAACTTGTTCTTTATTTATATTTTCTGTTTTGTTTTTAGTTACCATTTGAACAAGATAATGATTCACATTCATATACTTGTGTTGATATTAAAACACTTACACAACCTCAACAACATCGTTTTCGAAAACATCCTGATGTTGAACGTTTAGCACCAATTCATGGAAATTTAGATAAACGTGCAACAGAAGCTCTAAAATATTTAGTTGAAGTAAGAATATGAAAGTTAATTATGTATATGTAATTGAAGATACAGCAATAGGACATGAAAGTTTAGATTAGATATAAATCAATATTTTGAACTCTGAGAAATGAAATAGATTAAATTTAAAATGCAACAACAGTTACGTAGTAAAGATCTGCAGTTCATATTGTTATGCTTATCCTTGTGTTTTGATTAATAAATTACTTGTAATCAAATGAATATCATATTTTCCATATAATTCGAATATGATGATTAATTTTTTCAGTTCTCTCAAACATATCTAAAAAACGAAGCATACAGTTTTTTAAATCAATAAAAAAATGGTTTTTTTCTTTTGTCTAATTTTTGAATAGGCTCTTCGAAGTAATACAATACATCGTCGAGTTCAAGCAACTACTAATTCTGATCAAACAAATGAACAAGATAAATCATCAACAACAACGATTAATAATGAAAAATCAAAAGTTATTGTTCCATTACCTTATCAAGGAACACGACATTCATCAAAAATTTTAATTGATAATAAAAATCATTTAACAAATGATAAACGTTTAAA